ATGTATGAGTGATGTTTGAAATTAATCGGTCCATGCATGTTCGAGATACAGGTGATCACGGACGCACGGATGCACGGACGCACGGACGCACGGACGCACACAGGGCAAAACATAAGTCCCCGTTTTCGGACTGCGTCCGAACGGGGACTAAAAAAACATTTAGTCCAAAGTAAGCAGAGGTTGTAGCATATGTGCTCCCATTGGCTGTTAAATTTAATTAAAAAAGATATTTGAGTCTTTTTAGTACAAAAAAATATTACTTAATAAATTTATACCAGCCAGAAAGAAATTGCAGTTCACACTGTACTATTTTAAACATGTTCTACCAAAGTCTAGGATGAACTAATTCACCAGTCTGTTTCCACTCTACAAAGTTGTCAAATTAATATTTACGGGATTATGCAAAAATAAAATATTAAGAATGTGCAAAAAGCCAGAGTACTTGTGTTTTCAATGTCATTAAAATCTGACCAGGGATATGCCGAAAATTTCACTTGAGCTGAACCAAATGGATGCCAAGCTATCAAAAGAAATAAAAAAATACTATTGAGAAAAATACAAAAAAATACATTTAATATAAAAGCAGATAGAAGTGCATAAAAAACTAATCAGCAGAGGTAGTGATCATGTAACCTAAGAGTATGTCAAATTTCGTTTGAACTGGATTGCAGCGTTCATTCTAGAAAATTGTCTCAGATTGGCTGCTAATTTGCATATTAATTTGGATACTAATTAACATATTGTAGTTGTATTAAAATAATATATAAAATAATATCCGGAGTTTTGAAAGAAAAATTATGATTATTAAGTCAACATCATTAAAATTGAGGATTACGTGAATTTGACCCCTCCCTAATATTGTTTCACATATGAGGATGAGCAACATTTTGTAATGAAATGTCCAGCTTACAGTCACCATAGGGACAAATTATTCCTGACTGCACAAAATAAAATTCCAAATTTTGATAAAGAAAATAGTCAGAATAAATTCATTTTGATTATGGCAAACCATACTCTAGCACCAGCCTTAGCTGTCTTCTTAAAAAACAGCTATGGAACAAAACAGCAACAACTATCAGTGTATTAAGCCACATTCTGTGTTCATTCTATATTCTGTATTCACCATTGGCTGCAAATTGTATTTTTTTGTTTTTGACTTGTTTTTTTTTTTGTTTTTTTTAGAAAAGTTTTTATTTTTTGTTTTATTTTTTAGATTGTAGTTTTTTTTTGTTTTTTTTTAATTTCTTTCTGTAAGACCCTTTTTATCCTTTCCTAAGGATTTTATGCGTCTAATAAAAAATAAAAATAAAAATATCCCTTAAAAATATGGCCGCCGTTAAATCCATCTCAATCGAGGTTCGTAATTTATTTTCCTGCTCATAATGGAGATAAATTATGGTAGCTAAACATTGAAATTGCCACCCTGACTTCAGTACGAAATAAATAGCTGATTGGGAAAATGTGTCTCTGTTGACAGAGGTTGGATTTACCGATAAACCTCAACACCGCATAGAGCATCATTGCTGCAGTTTATGCAGCTCTCTTGGTCGTGGTATACCTTGCGGGCGACCAGAGAGCTGCAGTTCCCTTCCCTAAAGAAATGCACAGATTTTTAAATACAGTATGCCAGTTATGTATCATTAAAATTGTGATTGTAATAAAATTACCTCGACTTGCAGGAAAAAATAGACAAATATGTTCTCACAAATATATCTGTTACTGATTACAGCAAGCTTTAAGCAAATTTGCCCGTGTAAATGAGACTATTTCACGTTAAAACTGTGCCGAAGTGAAACCTCCGATTGAACGCCGCCATTTTGAAGCCGACCTCTATCACGTGACTTGGCTCTTTTAGTGACGAGTGTAATCACGTGACT